AACAGTTGATTGGGGTACATTTTTCCCCATATCCCACATTTATTTTTGTTGATTTCTGTATGAGAGCCACTCTAACTGGGATGAGGTAAAACTTCAGTGGTTTTTATAATTTTTATTTCCATGATGGCTAGTGATCCTGAGCAGAACTATGAAACAAGACCCCCCTACCTTACACCTTACACAAAAATCAATACAAAATGGATCAATGATATAAATCTACAACCAGATACCTTCAAATTACTAGAGAAGAACATCAGGAAAACAACAAGACATTGGCATAGTCAGAGACTTCTTGGAAAAGATCCCAGAATCACAGGCAATCAAAGCCAAAATAGACAAATGGGATTGCATCAAGCTGAGAAGCTTCTGCACTGTAGAGGAGACACTCAGCAAAGTGAAGGGGCAACCAACAGAACAGCAGAAAATATTTATAAACTATGAAATTGATAAAGGATTTATATCCAGAATCTATAAAGAGTTCAAGAAACCGAACAAGAAGCAACCAGTAAAGAAATGGGCAAATGATGTGAACAGGCATTTTTCAAAAGAGGAAATTCAAATGGCCAACAGACTCATGAAAAATATATTGAAAACAGGAGCATATTAACAGGAGTGATATCAAGCTAAAAATGCCTTTGAAAAATGGAGATATTTCCTTCAAGAAATTTCAGGATTATCATTGCCTATCAAGGCTGATAACCTATAATTTGTGAACTTTGAAATATTATCTTATACAAGTGGCTTTTCTAACAAACCACCTTGTCACTCTTTGTACCTTCTGGATCATTTCCAGACAAACATAAATTTGTAATACTATAGAAACATGACAAAATAGATCAGAATAACTATACTATACTACAGGCACTAATGCTTCAAATGATTTTGACAATCTGACCATTAAAATGTACAGGAAAACCTATGTAGTGTATGACATCACTTAGTGCAACAATTTAGAAGTCTGGAATCAGATAAAATATCACTGTAACAACAAATAAATAAAATAACTGGGGGTTAGTAACATTAGCACCATGTCATTAACAAGAAAGGGCATTTTTAAAAATTATTTTGTTTTTACCTTTAATTTTTATTTATTGGTAGGGAGTAGGGGAGGAAGGATTCCATCTGCTGGTTGACTTTCCAAATGCCTACGATGACAGGGGTTGGGCTAAGCTGGGCTGGGCTGGGCTGGAGCTGAAATCGAAACCTGAAGCCCAGAACTCAGTAATGTTGGTGACAGGAAGTCAATCACTTGACCCATCACTGCTGCATCATAGGGTCTGTATTAGCAGGAACCTGAGGTCAGGAGCCAGACTAGTACTCAAAGCAGGCACTATGACACAGAACATGAACGTGTTTACACTGAGACCGGGGGTGGGAAGTCATTTTTCTGCCAATGGCCATTTGGTTATCTACAACATCATTTGTGGCCCATACAAAATTATCACCTTAAAAATTAGCCGAGAGGCTGGCACTGTGGTACAGTAGGTTAATCCTCCGCCTGTGGCACCAGCTTCCCACGTGGACACGAGTTCGAGTCCTGGCTGCTCTACTTTCAATCCAGCTCTCTGCTATGGCTGGGAAGTCAATGGAAGATGGCCCAAGTCCTTGCAGCCTTGCACCCACATGGGAGACCCAGAAGTAGCTCCTGTCTCCTGGCTTCAAATTGGCACAGCTCCAACTGTTGAGACCATTTAGGGAATGAACCAGTGGATGGGAGACCTCTCTCTGTCACTCCCTCTCACTGTCTATAACTATTCTTCTCAAATAAATAAATAAAATCTTTTTAAAAAATTAGCCAATCACAAAGGGACAAATACCACTTGTTCTCCTTGATAGGTGACAACTAACTGAGCACCAAAAAGGAAACCTGTTAAAGTGAAATGAACACTATGAGAAACAGTGACTTGATCAGCCCTCACCCTGACTGTTGATGAGCAGCTTAATATGTTATCCCTCTTAGTATTTTTGTTTGTTTGTTCTACTTAATACTTTTGGTTGAATACTGTAATCAATACACAATTATTCTTAAGTGCTGAAACTTAACTGAAAAGTGATCGCTGTTAAATATAAGAGTGGGAATAAGAGAGGGAAGAGGTGTGCAATTCGGGACATGCTCAAGCTGACTTACCTCAAACGGTAGAGTTAGAAACATACCAGGGGATTCCAATTCAATCCCATCAAGGTGGCATGTACCAATGCCATCTCACTAGTCCCAGTGATCAATTTCTGTTCACAATTGATCATAATGATAGGACTAAGAACCAAAGGGATCACATAAACAAGAATAGTGTCTGCAAATACTAGCTCATAGAATCAAAAAGGGAGAGAACGATCCAACATGGGAAGTGAGAAACACAGCAGACCCATAGAATGGCAAATGTCCTAACAGCATTCTGGCCTCATAATCAGCCCTTAAGGCATGCGGATCAGGCTGAAATGCCCATGAGAGTATTTCAGGCATGGAAAGCCAAGACACTCTGGGGAAAAAAAAAAAAAAAACCCTAAATGAAAGATCTCCACGAGTGAGATCCCAGTGGAAAGAATGGGTCATCAAAGAAGGAGGTACCTTTCTCTGAAGGGAGGAGAGAACTTCCACTTTGACTGTGGCCTTGTCTAAATATGATCAGAGTCGGTGAACTCAGGGGGCTTCCATAGCCTTGGCAACTCAGGACAAGAGCCTAGGGTGATTACTGATGCCATAAACAAGAGTGTCAATTTGCTAAGTCAACAACAGGAGTCACTGTGCACTTACTCCTCATGTAGGATCTCTGTCCTTAGTGTGCTGTACATTGAGATTTAATGCTATAACTAGTACTCAAACAGTATTTTTCACTTTATGTTTCTGTGTGGGAGCAAACTGTTGAAATCTTTACTTAATGTATGCTAAACTGATCTTCTGTAGATAAAGAGAATCGAAAATGAATCTTGATATGAATGGAAGGGGAGAGGGAGTGGATAAGGGGAGGGTTGCAGGTTGGAGGGACATTATGTGGGGGAAACCATTGTAATCCATAAGCTGTACTTTGGAAATCTATATTCATTAAATAAAAGTTAAAAAAAAATTAGCCTGCTATAGATTTAACTGAATACTACCTGTGGTAGCCTTGGCAGGGCCAGAACAAATGATTTCACTGGCCTTATAGGACTGGCAGGCCAGACTTTCCCCACCCATGCACCCAAAGACTCACCCCATGAAAGGAATTAATGAACAGGAAAGTATAAGAGCTGAATCTAGTTTTCTTTTTCTCCAGTAAATAGCTTGGTCTCAAATCCCTTAAATTATCTTTACTTTTTCAACTATTGGGGGGAAAAAAGGTTGAGAATTACTCTGAATCATCCAGAGCCAAGACCAATATTTTGAACTTTCTCAGCGTTGTGTAGCTTGAATATTAGTCAACTACAATGACTCTATAACAGGGAATAAGGGCATGTGAAAAAAATGTCAAATAATAATAGTAACAATGGATATATGCCACAATATGTGATATAAAATGCAGACTTCCTACTTCTCTTCTTGGATAAACTATATTACCTCATTTGTCTAATAATCAAATTCAATTTTTAGGGTTAATTTATGTAGCCAAAGCATTTTTACATTAAAGCATACATGTGACTAATCTTAATTTTTTTTTTTTGTTGAAAATATTGGAGAAAGAATTAGGTCTGTGCTGAGCATGTACAGACTCTTTCCCCTTGTGACTAATCTTAATTTAGGAACACAAGAAAGTGGCCATCAAATAACCAGATGAATTTATAGTAAATAAAGTTGTCTGACAGGTAACTAAGAGAGAATGATTTTAAAGCTATTACTCACATGTAATAAAACTCATAATAAATACACTTTGGATGATACTGAATTTCACGCATTTAATCTATGAAGAAAATCATCTTACTTTGTTGGTTCTAATAACTAATTATTAGAAAATTATGTAAAAAAAGCAAAAGTCAGTTTTCAGTAATGCAATATAATAACCTGTTTAGTAAAACATCATGTGGCCTTTTAAAGATGAAAATGGGAAAATCTGCCAAACTGATGTCTAAAATTCTATTAGAAGGTAAATTAGCCGAATATATTTTTCATTGTGCTTTCAAGATGAAGACTTTACATGCTGCACCAATATACCATCTTCAAGATACTAATGTATTTGTAAGATATAGTTTGTACCCTGGCCAAGAATAGCTGCCTTTGAATAGATTGCCTTTGATATTTTCTAAGAAAAGATAGTTTACAAATGAAACTATTTTTGTCTAAAATTTTACAGAACTGATTATGTTGTGATTTAGAAAAGAATTTTGCGATAAAGACAGAAATTAGTTTCTGTGCTTATATGAATGTACACACTTACGCAGTTCACCAGCTGCATTGCGTCCACCGACTGCATACAGATATCCTTTGAGGGCACTTAGGTGGAAGAAGGTGCGCTTTTCATTTAGTGAGGCAACTTGCATCCATTTGTTGTATCGGGGATCAAATCTGAAGACTGTATCAACTGCTGTTTTTCCTTTTGTGTCATAATTGCTCTGTCCACCAACGACATAGAGGAAATTTCCAATGACGGCGATGCCATGCTGGTACCTTGGGGCATCCATGGGCGCCAAGGATTTCCACTCGTGGGCCTTTTCATCATACATGCGCAGCTCCTTACTGACAACCAGCTGCTGTCTCAGCACTCCTCCTAGTGTAACCAAATGAGTGGTGTCAGACCGAATGGCAGTCCTGTCTGACTGCATCACTGGCTGCATATATGGCATCATTTGGTAATTGCTGGCTTCCAAAAGCAAATTCACACAAGTATTGTCAGTTCTCATGAAATCTACTGTTTGCACGTAATTAATGAGCTCCTGTGGTGTCATCAGTGGAAATCGTATGTTCTTCATCAATTTCGCAGCAAAGTCCATCCGAGGCTCTTCCAGGCGAAGCCAGCGACAGGTAGCCTTAAAGAGCTCAAGTTCAGTGCAATGCTTAAGGCTGTTACTGGAAAGCACAAAGGCAAGACGCTCAAAGGGGAGTTTCAAGAACTCCCCAGTACTCAGCAATGCAGGAAAATTCTTCAAGACAAAACTGTTGATATATTTATCCACTTCTGTCAGATTGTAGGTGTTGGCAATCCGCCCAACTTCGACACAATTGTCTAAAGTAATCTATGAAATCAATAACAAAAGTTAAAGCACAACTACTTTCATGACACACAGATCTTCACACAAATAACTGTTCTAGAAGAATAAGTTATACATTTTAATGTCCATTTGGGTGCAAATAAAGATTCCTCTCTCTAGGCATCAATGATCTAAACAGAACTTGCAAACCACTTTATCTAATTCACTAAAAGGGCTACTAAAATAAAACAATCAGTCATAAGTTTAGAAGTTACTCTAAAAAATAAGGTGGTAACTTGACTATGGCTAAAATAATTTTCTCTCCATGAAAATGTATATTGCTCCATAGATAAATATGGATAAAATTCTAATCAGATGGAAATTTTAAGATCGATTCTATTGTGGTTCATGTTATAACTGATCTTCTGTATATAAAGAGAATCGAAAATGAATCTTGATGTGAATGGAAGGGGAGAGGGAGTGGATAAGGGGAGGGTTGCGGGTTAGAGGGACATTATGGGGGGAAGCCATTGTAATCAATATTCTGTACTTTGGAAATTTATATTCATTAAATAAAAGGTAAAAAAAATGGGAAAAAAAGTACCACACAGCTATCAGATTCAGAAACAGGGAAACATTGATATCTGATTCTTAGATTCCCTTTTCATGCACATGAGTATCACTCATTATCATCACTCATTACACTTGCTTCCACAGTCATGGCTCATAGTGAAAATAACATAACAGGACAAATATTCCTAGGGTAAAGTTATTTTTCATATTATTCATCTGGAAATAAAAGGGAGGGAATAGCTTTCTTGAGGGCAGGAAGGGTGGATCTATATCAAACCATATATAAGTTTTGATATGTGCTTGCATCTGGGCAACATAGCTTTCCATAGCCACTCTCTTGCTCTTAGCATCTCTAGCTCTGTCCGAAATTAAAGTGAGCCTATAACCATGTACCCAGAATAGAGATGCATATGTCACAAAGTAGAAAGCAAGTAAAGGACAGAAGTAATAGGCCCTTCTGAAGAAGAACCTCTTTTCAATGCTCTAACTGGTCAAAAGGAAAAAAAAATTCAAAAATCCTAACAGCAAATAAAATGCAAGGAATAAACCAGGATAACAAACAATTATACCAATGTCAAAGCATGTATATAAAAAACAGACACACGTCAACATTTAAAGGAATCAATTTAAAAAAAAAAAATTGGGGGCAGGCGCTGTGGCATAGCAGGTAAAGCCACCACCTGCAATGCTGGAGTCCCATATGGGCACTGGTTCGAGGCCCAGCTGCTCTACTTCCAATCCATCTGTCTACTATGGCTTGGAAAAGCAGTAGAAGATGGCCCAAGTCCTCCATCGCTGTGGCGCAGTGAGTTAACGCCCTGGCCTGAAGCGTTGGCATCCCATATGGGCACCAGTTCTAGTCCTGGCAGCTCCTCTTCCAATCCAGCTTTCTGCTGTGGCCTGGGAAAGCAGTACAAGATGGCCAAAGTCCTTGGGCCCCTGCACCTGCGTGGGAGACCCGGAAGAAGCTCCTGGCTCCTGGCTTCGGATCGGCACAGCTCCGGTCATTGCGGCCATCTGGGGAGTGAACCATTGGATGGAAGACCTCTCTCTCTCTCTCTCTCTCTCTCTCTGCCTCTCCTCTCTCTGTGTAAATCTGACTTTCAAATAAACAAATAAATCCTTAAAAAAGAAGAAGATGGCCCAAGTCCTTGGGCCTCTGCACCCATGTGGGAGATTCAGAAGAAGCTCCTGGCTCCTGGCGTCAGATCAGCGCAGCTCCAGCCATTGTGGCCAATTGTGGAGTAAACCAGCAGATAGAAGAGCTCTCTCTCTCTCTCTGCCTCTCTTCTCTCTGTGTAACTCTGACTTTCAAATAAATAATAAAATAAACTTTACAAAAGTTTGTTAGTGTGTATTCTCAATGTCACACATCCCCTCATCAATGCATTTTTATTCTCATAACTATATTGTTAATAGATTGGCCAATGTTTAAGAAAATATTGGCGGGGCCAGTAATGTGACATAATGGGCAAATCCAATGCCTATAATGCCAGCATCCTACATGGGAACAGGCTCAAGTCCTAGTTGTTCCACTTCCAACCCAGCTGCATACGCCTACTAATGCGCCTAGGAAAGCAGTGGAAGATGGCCCAAGTGCTTGAGCCCCTGCACCCACATGGGAGACCTGGAAGAAGCTCCTGGTTCCTGCCTTTAGACTGCTTCAGCTCCAGCCATTGTAGCCATTTGGGGAGTGAACCAGTGGATGAATGACCTCTTTCTCTGTCTCTCCCTCTCTCTCTAACTCTGTCTTTCAAATAAATAAATAAATCTATAAAAAGAAATTCCCTATATTTAAAGAAAATTTTGGCTAATCCCCCTATTGACATTTCATTTAGAAGCTGGCATGAAGCTAAAAGCATTACTCTTCTGCACAAAATAACAGCCCAGTTAGAATAAAATGCCAGTGAAAGCTCTAAGGTTAACATACACTTATGGCTATTTTCACAGGTTGTATTACTCAAGGAGAAACTGGACCCTCATGTAGTTGATTTGCCTTACAAAAATACTAAAAAAGTTTATTAATATTTATTAGCTGTATATTTTTAAATACCTAAAACATAACTAAACAAAAAACCAAGGAAATAAATTAATAAATTATGGGCCTCAAGAAGTAAACACTTTAACACTATCAATACCTTAGATTTCTAATATGGTTACTAAAAATTCACATTAATTCAGATTTATTAGTATCATGTTGCTATCTCAGAAAATTTTAGTTGTATAAATGGAATTACATTCAATACACAATGGCCCAAATCACCCCAAAGGGAAGGGATTCTTGGTTAGAAAAATAGATCCAAATCCCAAGATTAGGAACAGTCCTTCCCCAGAGCAAGGGCAATTTGTATTTTGGAAAATGTTTACCAATATGGATAAACAAAGCTGATAACAACATAAATATAATCCCCAAGAATGCAGATTCCCATTATTGAATTTATACTTTAAGTGGACAAAATTCTGCCAGCAGTTAGTCACCAAATTTAAATAAAAATGTATAGCATATATACATAGGCTATATGTATACAAGATATAACATTAGGAACAAAACTGTATACACTAATTTAGAAATAAGATCAAGGTATTCAATTCTTCCCCCCTTTCCCTCTAACTTTATCCAGTGAGAAAGCAATTACTAAAATAGCAGATGAGAACAAAATTTAGCTTTTATTTAAAAGCACTGGGAAAATACCTTCTATTTTCAATGTAATGATTCACAAAGATACACAGGAGAAGACAAGACTTTGACAGACTACCCAGTCAACATATAGTTGACTACTCATTTCTTAAAAATCACCTAAGAGTGCTGTTTCATAACCTTCTAAGTGGTCACCTTCTTAATAGAAGGACTGTAGTTCATGCACAAGAGCTACCACACTATAGGTATATGGGAAAGGTTCACTACTATGAGTATCAACAATATAAAAATGAAAGATGCAACGGTAAGCATATTTTAAAAAGAATACCTGTTGAATTAATACTAGAAACATTTTTCAATGAGGCACATTAGGAAATTCTTATCAAGTGCATATAATCAAAAGAATTAACCATAGAACGCAGGATTTAAGAAGCAAAATCCTAAAAATTAACAATATATGTAGTCCAAAAAAGATAGAATAATGGTAAATGATTTTCAGTATAGAAAAGTATTATTTTATTACATTTCCTTTCAATTCACATCTCAGTCACAGTTCTTGACTCTTGAAAGTGTCTCAGTAGATCTCTAAACATTTAGCTTCTAGTATTTAAAAAGTGGTATGTGCAATAACACATCATATCCAGTTTATGTATATATTAGCATATATTACACTTTGAAAATATAAAATAAGTTCAAAGCTTATCTTAAAATCCCTGAACAGAAAAACTTCCAATTTAGTCTGAATTCATCTAATTTAATGTGAAAACCTAGCCAAAATTCCCAAAGAAGTAGCCTTGAAACAGAAATTAAGCCAAATAATTATACTGGCATTTGAAAGGATAGAGCAGCAAAAAAAGAACAAAATCCAGCAACCACATGTAGGAGCCCATAAGTTGTTTTGAAAATAATGAAATGCACATTTAAGTGGATTATATTTTGAATATTCAACTACCAGTACAGTATGAGTACCAACCAATCAAATGTGTGCCCGACCATAATCAACTAATAACATTGCCATCTGGGTACTAGGCTCAATATCAGCCCTGAAAATAAGCAAGTCAGACTGGTTTCCTGAGGGGAGGGAAACAGCTCTGATTCATTGTCAACTCTATCTATACAACTTTTCCGTCTAACTTGCATTAAACCTCCCCAAAGGTGAAAAACTTTATGTTAACATACATGTCTGTTAATTTTATGGATAAAACTAATTTAGACCAATGCAGGGATGGAACTATCAGGCCCGTGGGCTGTATAAGGCCCGCAAAATCATTTGGTCTGGTCCTGACAAGGCAACTGTAGGAGAGATTGTAAATTCAACAAATCTCTAGCAGTTTAATTTTTAAGTTGATCAATTTGTATGGCCTACAAATGATGTTGTAAATATTCAAATAGCCCTTAGCAGAAACAAATATTCTCCATCCCTGAATTAAGGAATCCAAAATATATGTACCTCAGAGGAAAAGCTCACATCAAGAATAATGTCTCCAAAGCAAAACAGTCTTTTGCAATGACTTCTGAGTGTTTTTTCCCTGAAACAATCATTTTCTCCCTTTTTCTCTTTCTTTTACCTCTCACCCACATACAAATCTCCATTATTTTCTGTCTCCAAGTATTCAGACTTCCAAATCACTTCAATAAAATTTCATTTCACTGTATGTTCTATAGCCCTATCATTGCTACTAACTATACAGGTGGAAGTAATGATAATTGTAGCAAAGAGAAAAAAGAAAATATAAAGAAAGAGTATCATACCAAGTATAAAGGCCAATGGCAACTTCATTCTGATTAAATACATTTTCATATAAAATAAATGACTTATTCCAAATCTTTATTCTATTTTTCTATACATCTGTGTATTTAAATTATATTTCCAGTTCAATTCCAAATATCCTAGTTCAGCAATCTGATGTTAAATTTGGTTTGTTTTGTAGGTGAGCCCAATCTTCCAAAAGAGTAACTTTGCAGGGCAAATGCCAATTTACAAACTTCAAATTGCAAGCAAATGATGAACAAAAAAACTTCACTTCAACCTGCTTCTAAATGAGGGAATGACTGCACAGTATTTAGCTTGTTGTAGTTGTACAATGTCACAAAGACAAAAGCTAAGTTAACATCTAAAGGCATGTATGACTAAACAAAGATAATTTTTCATTATCTCCATGATATGTGAATGTTTTTAGTTTAATGGAAATGTTTAACTTCTCTGATTTTTAGCCTTCCCTGTTTCACCATTTTGTATTCATTCATAGTCTTCTCCTCCATAACGACCAAGAAAATTGCATAGCAGGAACAAAAATTCCAGATCCTATAAACCCTAGCACTAATTTGCACCAAAAGAGGACAGTGCTACTGCAAAGGATAGCAAAGCTAGGAGGGGGTGAGTTCTTGTTCTACTGACATTGATACTGTCACAGAAAACTGGTATCTTTATCCCAAACACCATTGTGGCTTTAGTATCATTTTTAAAGCTATTGTTCAAAAATACTTTCTAACTGCCTTCTGGGTTATTTGTTAACTCACATTTCATGTACCACTGCTTCTCCTGATCCACACAAATGTGCTTTATGTGAGCTTTAATTGCACTGTATCATTAAAAATAAGAATATTTCCTCATAACATCTGACTTCACCACACAGTTCTTAAAATAAGAGATAATTACATTTAAAAAAAAAATCTACAACCTAGCTTGTGAGAGAATTTTTTTTTAAAAAAAATCTTTCACTTGGGCTACTTGTAAAACAAAGAACACAACTCAAGGATATAACACTGTGCTGCCATAAAGCCTTTTAAAAGAGCATGTTGTTTAAAATTTTCCAAGTTATTGTGAGATATCAGTGCGAGTAATCCAAAATGGAAACAAACATACAGGAAAACACACTTTCAATGTCTTAGTTTTATTAGCTATTGACTGACGTCTTAAGATGAAGAGTACCTTGTTAAACTAAGGACTCATTCTCTTGAACTTTAGTGTTTTAAAACAGGTTCCATGTTCAAAAAATGTAAGGTTTTTAACAACAGCCATTATTTACCAATATTAAAGTTCATATGAGTTAAAATCAATTAGAGAACAATGTGTAATTCATCAGCATATTGAACTGGAAAACGTATCAAAATTACTACTGTCATAACTTTTTAATCACAAAATCAAAACCTATGAATCCTGGAAATGCTGGTGATATGTTTGTACAACAGAGGAATTTGGTTTCTGAGAAGCAAAATTTAAGTCTCAACTAAAATAAAACACCATCTTTAAAAGGGAAGTACATGACTGATGACTAAGCATTTAATAGATTGCTAGTTGTATGTGCCCTCTCTTATCTATTTTTTCCCAAAGAAACCATTTATTTAATACGTATAAATTTCATAAGTACAACTTTAGGACTATAGTGATGGTTCCCATTAAACCTGCCCTCCCACCCACCCACCTCCTCCTCTCTCTCCTATTCCCAGTCCCATTCTCCATTAAGATTCATTTTCAATTAAATTTATACTGAGGAAAGATTTCAACAATATGCACAGACACACACACACAAACTATTTGAGAACAAGTTTTACAGTTAATTCTCATAATACAACTCATTGAGGACAGAGGTCCTGCATGGGAAGTAAGTGCATAGTGACTCCTGTTGTTAATTTAAGTTAACACTCTTATGTATGACATCAGTGATCACCAGAGGCTCTTGACATGAGCCGCCTAGGCTACTGAAGCCTTTAGAATCCACAAACTCCATCAGTATTTATACGAGGCCATAAACAAAGTAGAAGTTCTATCCTCCCTTCATAGAAAAGTACATCCTTCTTTGACGGCCACTTATCTATTAAAAACAGGTAAACACTATTCAGGGAGTGATGTTTGTATGAAATCAAAACCCATATCCTTATCAGTTTGCGCATAAATACTAAACTCATAAATTAAAGGAAGAAAAACATCACCCAGTATATTTTTAAAGACTTCTAGAAGCTCAGATTACTTTTCCATGTAATTATAAGAAGTATATTTATATAAAATCATTAAGATGAATAAAACCAGATTAGAGTATATAACATTATCAAACAGGTTAAGTTATACTTGCATATCTTTACCAAACACTATAACTATCTTATGTCATATACTTGCACAGTTGCTTTTATTAAATGATTCCATTTTTGTTAAAAAAAAAAAAAAGTACTTGTTTTAATCTCAGCTTAAGTTTCCAGACCACATGACACCAGTCTAACTATGAGAGTTTGACATGTCTACACAGCAGATTTCACCAGCCCTGATACAAACAGGCCACATCGAATCTACCTCAGGAAAAAGATTGGAAAATATCTTACCCCAGAAATGAGAAATACTTTACAGAAGTCCAAAACTGGCAGAATCTGTAGAAAGCTAGCAGCTTCCAGTGTGTCTTGAAGGTTGTCCATATTAAGAGAAAGTTTTGCAGTATAAATGAAATCAATAATTTTCCTTAGACCGACTTTGCTCACACCATGAAGCTTAATGCACATTAAATCTTGTTCTTTCATTCCACCTGAAATAAAGACATTCAATTAAATGAAGGTGGATAATTAAGGTCAAATTCACTTCTGCTGCTAATTAGATGCAATAAAATCAAGGAGAAGTCTCATTCTGTGTAAGCATTTCTATCAGGGTTAGCTTCTGCATATTTTACAGTTAAAAGAGAGTACTTAAAAAGGATTATCTTTATACTAATGGAGGTCATATATGATGCAAGTGCTTCCAAAATGTTTTCCTGTCACTTAGTATCTTTTGAAGGACTAAAGATTGTATTCCTGGGACACAGGTTCTCTGGTGGCCTAGTCACACATTTTTTCTACAATCTGAAATAAAAGTAGACAGCATGAAAAAGTGCATCAATTTCTCATGTTAAACCTATGGTAATCACAACCATTCATACTGTTATGTATTCCTTTTGATACTTTTTCCTTTTTTACAGACAGACAACAACAACTGAATGCCATGTCTTAATTTAGATAGAAACACGGGGTTTTCCTATTTCTTAAATGAGGATGCAGAGTTTAAAAGTCAAATTACCTGTGAACATAGCCTTGAAGTAATCACTAGCAGATGCCATCATAACTCTATGCACAGGGAAGGCATCATCTGTGTCACCTGGCATCAGGGTCACATCACAAAGCAATCCTTCAAGCCGCAGCTGGTCAAAGCCCTATAACAAAGGCATGAGTTGAGCTACTAAGCAAGGTAAGATGAGGCTATACATCTCTCTTGCTAAAATTCTGTTTCTAATATTAATGTAGTGCAACATATTTGGAACAATGATTAGGAGAAGAAAAACTAAACATGTCGTTATATGTGGTAAATTTTATTATGTTGTATAAAAAAGATAAAACTAAGACATTTAGATAAAGAACAGGGCCAGCTTTGTGGCACAAGCTTCCATCTGTGACACCTGCATCCCATATCAGAGCACCAGTTGGAATCTCAGCTGCTCCATTTCTGATCCAGTTCCCTACTAATCTGCCCAGGAATTCAGTAGAAGATGGCCCAATTGCTTAAATTCCTGCCACCCATGTCAGAGACCCGGATGGAGTTCCAGGCTCCTGGCTTTGGCTTGGCCCAGCCCCAGTCAATACAGTCATTTGGTGAGTGAACCAGTAGATGTAAGATATTCCCATTCTCATTCTCTCTCTCTCTCCCTCTCCCTCTCTTTCTCTATTTTTCTCTCCCTCCCTCCCTCCATCTCTGTTACTCTGCCTTTCAAATAAATAAAATAAATCTTTTTAAAAAATATATTAAGAACAAATAAGGAAGAGATGGAATTGTGGCACAGTGAGTTAAGCCACTGTTTATGATTTTGTGCTACCATTTCATGTTGAAGGAATGGTCTGAGTTCTGGTTGCACCCTTTCCCATACAGCTTCCTGCTAACACACCTAGGGGAGCAGAAAATGATGGCCCAAGTGCTGGGGCCCCTGCCATTCATGTGGGAGACCCATATGGAATTCCTGGTTCCTCGCTCAGCCTGGCCCAGACCTGGCTCTAGTGGCCACTTGGTGAAAGAACCAGCAGATGAAGATCCACACACACTACCTCCCCCAACCCTCCCAGTTACTCTGTATCAAATAAACAAATCTTTTACAAAATGCTTGAATCTACAGAACTGGACATTCAAAGCACTTACTTAATCAACCCTCTTTACCCTCTATGAAGATGAATATTTTATGCCAAAATATTTATGCATCACATGTATACTCTAAAATGCAATTATGTATCATAGTTTTCTTTCTCTGACAATAATTGCCATATGTTCCTATTCACAAATATAACATATTTCCAAAAGGCCTTTTTTTCCTTTGTAGACACAAATGTTACACATTCCACCCCACTATTTTCAGTTTCCACTGCTGATTTGTCTGTTGTCCTTGTTATTCAGAATAGTAAGAATTGAGCTGCCATTTGACCTAGCAGGGAAGGACTGCAATTAAGATACCCACGTCCCACATCAGTGTGCCTGGGTTGGATTCCTGGCTCCAGCTTCCTGCTTATGTAGACCTGGGGAGGCAGCAATGATGGCTCAAAGTAGTTAAGTGCCTGGATGGAATTCCTGGTTCCCAGCTGCAGCCCTGGCACAATCCCTAGCCACTGCAAGAATTTGGGAAGTGAATCAGTGGAAGGAAGCTCTTTCTTTTTCTCTTTGTTTCACAAATAAGTAATTTTATTTATTTTTATTTTTATTAATGTTAAGAGAACAGTTTCATGCATTCCATAAAAACGGTTCTAAGAACAGTAAAAGAACAACTCATCTTGCAAAAGATGTCAATTTTTAGGGAATGTTCTCATGCTGGAGAAGTGTTCTTTTAAAATTCACATGAAGTCTCAAATGCAATAAGTTTATGGTATTCACCTTCAAATGTGGATGAATAATTGTAATTATCAAATGATGACACTGGGGTGGAAGATTAAAAGGGTCAAGTGAAAACAGAAACCGGTAACTGGAACAGCTGAGAGACAAGCATTTTTCAATTCCCCATGTTCAATCAACAACATGAACAACAACAGCAACAATTATATTTTAAGTCCGAAACCACAGAATGTACTTTAAATCCATGTAGTCTCCTTGTGTATAACTTAAATTTTGTGGCCAAAAATTATAAACCAGAAATTATGACATTTCTCCCATTAATGAAATGAATTGTGCCCCATTTGTTTAGGTAAGATGAAAAAGGTTAAGGTAAGAGAAAAGGAATTGAGTCAGTTTGGGAAAGAAAAACTAGTTCCCAAGGCCTTGGGTTTTTTACTCCCTCAAATTTAGTTGAAAACTAAAAGCCCACATCTTCTACTTACTAAAAGTAACCACTGTTAATTGTTCAGTACATATTGTACTTCAAGATTTTATTCTATTTTTAACTTTTTAAAATAAATATGAACAACTTAATATGTTATCCCTCTTAGTATTTTTTTTGTTTGTTCTACTTAATACTTTTGGTTGAATACTGTAATCAATACACAATTCTTCTTAAGTGCTGAAACTTAACTGAAAAGTGATCGCTGTTAAATATAAGACTAGGAACAAGAGAGGGAAGAGGTGTGCAATTCGGGACATGCTCAAGCTGACTTACCTCAAACGGTACAGTTAGAAACATACCAGGGGATTCCAATTCAATCCCATCAAGGTGGCATGTACCAATGCCATCTCACTAGTCCCAGTGATCAATTTCTGTTCACAATTGATCATAATGATAGGACTAAGAACCAAAGGGATCACATAAACAAGAATAGTGTCTGCAAATACTAGCTCATAGAATCAAAAAGGGAGAGAATGATCCAACATGGGAAGTGAGATACACAGCAGACCCATAGAATGGCAGATGTCCTAAACAGCACTCTGGCCTCAGAATCAGCCCTTAAGGCATGTGGATCTGGCTGAAAAGCCCATGAGAGTATTTCAGGCATGGAAAGCCAAGACACTCTGGGGAAAAAAAAAAAAAAAACCTAAATGAAAGATCTCCACGAGTGAGATTCCAGTGGAAAGAACAGGTCATCAAAGAAGGAGGTACCTTTCTCTGAAGGGAGGAGAGAACTTCCACTTTGACCATGGCCTTGTCTAAATATGATCAGAGTCAGTGAACTCAGGGGGCTTCCATAGCCTTGGCAGCTCATGACAAGAGCCTAGGGTGATTACTGATGCCATAAACAAGAGTGTCAATTTGTTAAGTCAACAACAGGAGTCACTGTGCACTTACTCCTCATGTAGGATCTTTGTCCTTAGTGTGCTGTACATTGTGATTTAATGCTATAACTAGTACTCAAACAGTATTTTTCACTTTATGTTTCTGTGTGGGAGCAAACTGTTGAAATCTTTTCTTAATGTATGCTAAACTGATCTTCTGTATATAAAGAGAATCGAAAATGAATCTTGATGTGAATGGAAGGGGACAATGGCTCCCCCCACCATAACCTCCCTCCCACCTGCAACCCTCCCATCTCCCAATCCCTCTCCCATTCCATTCTCATCAAGATTCATTTTCAATTGTCTTTATATGCAGGAGATCAATTTAGAATATATTAAGTAAAGATTTCAACAGTTTGCACCCACACAGAAACACAAAGTATAAAATACTGTTTGAGTACTAGTTATAGCATTAATTCACATTGTACAACACATTAAGGACAGAGATCCTACATGAGGAGTAAGTGCACAGTGACTCCTGTTGTTGACTTAACAAATTGACACTCTTGTTTATGGCGTCAGTAATCTCCCTAGGCTCTTGTCATGAGTTGCCAAGGCTGTGGAAGTCTTTTGAGTTCGCCGACTCCAATCTTATTTAGACAAGATCATAGTCAAAGTGGAAGATGTTTGTAGGAATACAGAATTTTTTAAAAATGAGATAAAATACATGCTGTTGTGTATTTTCAAATTCACTTCAGCAGATAACATGGACTTCTATCTTGGTGCACATAAATTTACTTCATTCTTTTTGGTAGAAACATAGTGTTGGTAATCACAAGTTCTTCATCTATTCTCCTCTGCCTGAACACTTAGGTTATCTCTCAACTTTTACAATAATAATAAGCAGTGGCACAATGAACCTTCTTAAACATGTACTTACTTGTGTAAGTATATCTGTGGAAGATATTCTTATAAGTGGATAATGGTTTAAAGAGCGTATTTTTAAAGTTTTGATACTTCTAGCAAATCAAAAGATTTGATTTGTCTTGGGAGAAATATCATACCTTAGGTACTGGTAAGAAAAAAAGATGTGAAGACACTAATGAGAATAGACTAGGTACTGTATTCCTCCTTTATTTTTAGTCACCAAATAATTTTGAACTTCCCTAAAGCATATGTAGATAATAGCCATGAAAAACAATCATGGTTATTTGGTCAAAGGCAATAACTGGATACAATCAGTTACTTTCTTAAAAAAAAAAATAAAAAAGAACTCTTGGCTCATTTACTAAGCTCTCCTACCCTAAAATATTTCTACAAATATTTTACATTTGGAATTGAGTGAAGTTGGTGAGCTCCATTCCTACTATTTTATATTTCTTATTTTCCCCTCTTAAAAAAAGGAATGGCTAATGCTTCTTGTATTAACTGTCATTTCACATTCCTTCTACATTCCATTAAAATTATTTGTGCAGGCGTGCACAAAATCCTCAAAAGCAAGATAGCTCAGTTGAGACACCAAGAGCCTTTATCTTCTTCACATATTTGGTCATTTTACTTTCTCTTTTTAAACGGAAGACCACAAAAGTGAAGAAGCTGCAGTGCCTAGATGACTTATCACATTCTGTGTATCTTCTATTCTATGCTTCATTTTTCTGCCTTTGGGAACGTATCTGCTTTTGAGATTTTACATTTATTTTCCCTGAATGCAAAATAGTTGCCTTTATATTTTAGAACATTTATTTTCAAAGGCATAAATGAATGATCCCAGTATTGTTCGATCCCATATTTGTTAATTGTATTCCAGATCATTACTATCTTGATCCCAATGCGATCTGTCAATTCATAGTCTTAATATCTTGTCCTGTTCCTGTATATCGCAGCTCTGTCTAAAGAGAAGTTTCCTCTACACCCACACATTGTTGTATGTAAGAAGGAGTCCTTTCTCTACATCTATGCACATATTAAAAGGAAAACTGCTGGGGGCCTGCCCTGTGGTGTAGCAGGTAAAGCCGCCGCCTGCAGTGCCAGCATCCCATATGGGCACCGGTTCGAGACCCTGCTGCTCCACTTCCGATCCAGCTCTCTGCTATGGCCTGGGAAAGCAATAAAAGATGGCCCAACTCCTTGGGCCCCTGCACCAGCATGGGAGACCCAGAAAAGGCTCCTGGCTCCTGGCTCTGGATCAGCGCAGCTCCAGCTGTTGAGGCCAATTGGAGAGTGAACCAGCGGATGGAAGACCTCTCTCTCTGCCTCTCCTTCTGTGTGCAACTCTGACTTTCAAATAAATAAATCTTTAAAAAAGGAAAAATACATCACTTGCCTCCACAATTCTCATCTGTTTTTCTATATATTTACTTTTTGCTTTCACTGTTATCTTTAATCCTATTTAACTCTAGGAAGACTTTCAAACCTATCCTATACTTAACATGTGTTGTACAATGTGAATTAATGCTATAACTAGTACTCAAACAGTATTTTACACTTTGTGTTTCTGTGTGGGTGCAAACTGTTGAAATCTTTACTTAATATATTCTAAACTGTCTCACTGGTAAAAACCAGGATTACTCTTTTTCTAGCACTTTATTTATGCCAGTACTTTTCATTGGGATGTTCTCCTATTTTCAAAGATTAGTTCAAATATTACCTCCTCTATAAAGCTATCTTTAATCAAATATCTTCTAAAATAATTAGGTCTCTTTAGTCTGGATTTCACAATTTACCATTTAATTATATCCTACAAATTTGTTTCCAGTGAATGAACATGAATAAACAGATTTACGTTACCTCCTGAAATATCTTAAAACCAGAAAAAAAAAACCTCTAGTATGAAAAAATTTAAATATTGAAGGAGAGGGAGCTGTGAAAGATGAGAAACGAATTAAGGGCTCACTAGTTAGGTGAGCCCTACAAGTGTTGCAGCATTCTTCCTAGAAATTCCAGACAGAGGTACCCAGAGTGGGGACTCAGACAAAACACAACATTCTCCTGGGGCAGAGAGTCTGGGGAAATCAAGGCAGCTAAGTTTGTAGAACAGAATACGAGAGAAGAGATCTGCATGGAAAGGGTACCCTGGAGATCTGATAATACTCGCCCTTGAGTATTCAACTGAGTAAGTACATTTGTCAGGAGGAAAAACCACCTAAATGGAACACAGGTACACCTGTCAAGGCTCACAAAGGTCTAGGAATACTTCCTACTCAAACCACAGGAGTGGAGTAACTTTGTGTTGCTGGGGCCTTAGGTAGAGTACACAAAAGGACTTTGTCTCAGTATTGAGGAAAAGTGTATTTCACCATATAAACAAACTAAAAAAAAAAAAAAAACAACAGTAAGATCAACTCAATAGCTACTTAAAAAGCATTTGAAAAACATCCAACATCGATTAACAATTTTAAAAATCTCTCAGCACACTTCATGGGGAATTTCCTCAAACATATAACTAACATCATAGCTGAAGACTAAGTCCTCCTACCCCTACCATCAAGAACAAAGCAAGAATATACTCCCCCGTCACTTTCACATTTTTCTAGAGGTTCTACTCAGTGCAGTAAGAAAAAGGAATAAAATCCTGGAAACGAAGAAATAAAATTATCTTATAGGCAAAATGATCACCTATATAGAAAATTCCATACTATCTACAGAAAAGCTCCTAGAACTAGTAAGTCAGTTAACCTAAGTTGCAAGATCAATAATTAATTAATTGTTTTGCTACACACCACCAACAGTCAGAAACTGAAATTAGTCATCACAGAATATGCAACTCTAGAGTTGGATAGGCTTCTCCCATGTATCACTTCAACACATGTTAAGTAAACAGTAATATACAATTGAGAATGCAATAATAACACTAAACTGACCTAAAAAGGGAAAGAGCTATGCATTCTTTCAATTTATAAACACTCAATTGAAAATATAAGAATAGCTTATTGTACTCCAACCTGAACATCCCAAGAGCTATGACCAGGAGAAACTATAGACCCATTTCTCTATATTCTAGCTGCCATTCAGGAACTGAGAAGAAAAAGTGTCACTGTCATTTAAAAAAATCTCAACAATTTAGATTTAGCTCCTCTTTTATAAAAACGTAATTTGACCTAATCATTATGCCTGCTTCCTGTGTGAGCACTACATTGTTTATCTTATGATCATAAAGTTTTTAAATAGGGTATAGTTCTACAACACGACCATGATCACCAAACCACATGTTTACTTTAGGATAAACACTGAAATAAACCCAGTGCAACGCAACACATTAACCTGTAGAGATTCATGGAACAGCCTACTGTTTTAACATTCTATTAGCTAAACAATAACTTAAGTCTATAGAAAAATATCTTACATGGACTTTATTTTCTCTGCAAAATTTTAGTTCTAAACAGCTAACATAGAGGAAAACCTGAAAAGAGCAGTCTGATATGCACTGACCTTAAAATGAGAAAAATGTCAATTAGCAGCCTAGATAACCAAATCAGTAGAAATTTTCAACCTTTATGGGTTTGAGTAAGCGTGGAAAATAATCAGAAAATTATTTCCTTTTACCTACATAAGAAGTCTACACTAAATATACTCTGCCACAGGCTGAAGTGTGGTACTTTGGTTTAGCCTCCTTGTTCCAACAGGGAATGGAAGATGGTCATGAGATATAACTACAGGTAAAGCAGTAGTCAAGGAGTGACAAAAAATATAATCCTAGACTTTACAAATCACTACTTCAGCTAACCCCAGTTAATCTTCCTTATTTGAGTAGAAATAATTTGCATTGCTAATTCCATCATGAATTCCCTTGGGCTATGTTCCAGGTGCTAGGAACCCAAGCCTATTAGGTATCAGATGTCTTTTTAGGTACTTTGATAATTTAGTTTGCTGAAGTCTGATTATTCGAGATGGATAATCCACTACAGTCACTCAAGTCAAACAAATAGAAAATTTATTTGGTGCGCCAATCACCTCTGACCCATTTCTATTTCCTCTGACACCTCCTCTGTTTAGCTTCAATGTAAGAAATTAATTTACTATGTACCTTACTTTTCCATGAACTGTGATAGTCAATCCTAGAATCTTTTACCCAGATTTTAAATGAAGAAGATGACCCAGAGAAGACAAATGACTTTCCCAAAGTCACACAAATAGGTGGTACAACTAGAATTTCAGTTTGAGTTGAAACCCATGTCCTTTTCACTTCAGTTAAGCAGGGGAAAATCCTGCGGAGTGAGACTGCTTAGCAGTTTCTCCCCAAGGATCTGTTCCCCTCATAGAACTTTCAATGCCTTCTGAAGATGGGGTTGGCGTTATTACTAATTTTAAAATGATGATAACATTACACATATTGAACACTTCTCTAGCTTGTTCTCTTGACAACCATACATGTAAGATTAAATACCAAAAGGAACTGTTAGTGCCTGGCCTAAAAACAACAACTTGTGAGAACATAATTTTCAATAGAGTTTTAAACAGAGAATACAAGGTTTCTCAACAATATAGAGTGCTAGGTCTGTCAGCACAGAAATTAAAATAATGTAAAAAAAAATCAGCTGAACAAAGATCTTAAAGTAATAAAAACTTTCAGGTTACTTTCACATCACTAGTTTTTACCACCAGCATGGAACAATGGGCTAAAAAACAGAGCTAAGGGCTCTAAGATCCAACTATGCTTGTTTTGTCAACTATTCTTTCTAAAATTACATAGGACACACAGAAAAATATTTCCACTGTTAAAAACAAAACAGTGTAGTAATATATAGAGCAAAACATGGCTTTATCAGCCTCACTAATGTTTCCAGACTTTTTGTTATGCATTCATTTTCATGTCTATGTATACAAACTGTATATTTTTCTACAAATATAAAGAATTATATAATATATATCACTGTTATTTTTAACAGCTTTATTGACATATAATTCATATACAATTCAAGCATTTATAGTATACAAATAAATGGTTTTAGTATATCCACAGATAAGTGCAACTAATTCCACAGTCAACTTCAGAGTATTTTCTTCACTTGGAAAAGTAATCTTGTGCTTTAGCTAACATTCTCATATTCACCCAATTTTGCCAACCCTAAACAAACATGAGTGCACTTTGGGTCTCTGTAATTTTGCCTATTTTGGATACTTCATCAACATAGACTTTTGAGACTAGCCTCTTTCACTTAGAATAGTGTTTCCAAGGTTTATCCATATGGTACCATGTATCAGTACCTCATTTTTTTATGAATACACCTAATCCATATTCCACTGTACGGATATACCATATTTTCCTGTTAATTTTTTTCATTTAATATCTCATAGTCTTTCCATTCAACACATATATACCCATCTCATTCTTTTTAGTGACTGGAGAGTATGGCATAGTTTTGACGCAATATAATTAATGTAACCATTTCCCTATTGATGCAAATTTAGGCAATTTCCAACATCTCTCCAATGTAATAATTTATAATATATATCATAGAGAGGGTAACATTTCTTGGAGGAAGACGGTCCTTGCCTCTAGAACAGTAGTTCTAATAGCACAGTTGGCCCTCCATACCCATCAGTTTCATATCTATGGATTCAACCAACCATGAGTTGAAAATAAACATATGCCTATGATGACTGTATCTATGCTAAACATATACAGACTTTTTATCTTGCCATCATATCCTAAATAATATAACGTAACAGCTATGCACTTACTTATATTAGGGAGTATAAACTATAGATTTGTAAAGTATATGGAAAGAGGTACTTAGGTTATATACAAATACTTCATCATTTAATATAGTTGCCTTGAGAACCCAAGGACTTTGGTATGAGAGGGGAGAGGGGTTATGGACTCAATCCCCTGTTGGTAGTAAGGGAAGACTCTATGTTACCCAAACATGCAGCATCACTTTGGAGTTTAGAAATGCAAGTTCCTGGACCCATTCCCGGTGACTTTTGACATCTCACACCATAAAACTCCAGGTTGTTTTTTTAAGCCATGTTAATACCATAGAAGGATTGGCTGAGATTACCTGTAATACCACAGAACTGTGGGTATTGCTGGTAAAGATGCGTGTGGTTCCTGCCTTGGAAGACTGCAAATGGGATGAGAGGCCCATTTCGCTGCTTCCAAGGGACAATTTCATGTGTTGGTCTTCCTCTTCCACGAGAGATCTGAAAGTTTTTTAAAATAAGAAAGGCAAATTAAAACATGTATAATTCATCCCAATAAGATTTAAATAATCATTATCACTAGTCATCTAATTATAAGATGTACTAAACTTTGTTTCACTATATTTTAGATTCATGCCACTATACCACAGAAAAAAATACATATTTGTAAAGCATTATCTATACTGTCTACCTTGGAGAGCAACTAAAAAAATCAACTTAAAAGCCTGCATGTGGTATAGCAGGTTTGGCACAGTGAGTTGTGATGCAGTAGGTTAAGCCACCATCTGTGATGCCAGCATACATGTCAGAGTGACAATTCAACTCCCAGCTGATCTATTTCTGATAGAGCTCCCCGCTAATGTGCTTGGGAAGGCAGAAATGGTGCAACTGCTTAGGCACCTACCACCCAAATGGGAAATTCAGATGGACTTCCTGACTCCTGGCTTCAACCATTCCAGCCATTTGGAGAGAGCCAGCAGATGGAAGATCCTTTTTGTTTTTTAATGAAAGGCAAAGTTACACAGAGAAACAGACAGAGGCAGACTGAGAGATCTCCACACACTCATTCCCTCCCTAGATGGCTACAATGGTTGGAGCTGGGCCAGGCCAAAACCAGGAGCCAGGAGCTTCATCCAGGTTTCCAACATGGATGGCAAGAGCCCAAGTGCTTGGGCCTTCTTCCGTTGCTTTCCCAGGCACATCAGCACGGAGCTGGATCAGAAGTGGCATAGCTAGGATGCAGACCAGCACCCATAAGTGGTGCTGGAGTAACAGGTAGAGGCTTAACCCACTGTGTCACACCGCCAGATGCAAAATATCTCTCTCCCTCCACCACCTTCACTCTCACTGTGCTTTTCAAATAATAAAAAAAATTTTAAAAGATGATTCAAAATTATAGTCATAATGGCAAGGGTAATTTTTTTGGTATTTTACTATTTAGATAGCAACGCTATTAAATTGTGCTTTTCACAGTTAAAATTAATTCAAAAAATCAAATTTTAAAAAGATAAAAATGAGGTGAGCATTTGGCTCAGTGGTTAAGACTCTCCCATTTTGGAGAGCTGGTTCAAATCCCAGCTCTGCTTGCAATTCAGCTTCTTGCTATGTGCATCCTGGGAAGTAGCTGTGATGGCTCAAGAATTTGGGTCCTTGTCACCCATGTGGTAGAATTGGATTGGGTTCCTGGCTTCAGGCTTCATACCAGCCCAGTCACAGCTATCACAGGCATTTGGGGAATTAACCAGTAGATCAAACATCTGTGCATCTGTTTCACTCATTTTGTAAAAATGAAAATAAATTTTAAAATTTAAAAGATAAACAGTGACCATTTATTGAATAGTCACTCTGTGTCAGACACTTTTCAAGAATTTTATACACATGAGTTCATTTAATCCTTTAACAGTACTATAGGTACTATTAGCATCTCCTTTTGTGTTTAACACTTAAAACTTATTTTAATTTCTAGTTAGTTTTTATCAAATTCAATACGGCGGCCGGTGCTGCAGCTCACTAGGCTAATCCTCCACCTGCGGCGCTGGCACCCCAGGTTCTAGTCCCGGTTGGGGTGCCAGATTCTGTCCTGGTTGCTCCTCTTCCAGTCCAGTTCTCTGCTGTGGCCCGGGAAGGCAGTGGAGGATGGCCCAAGCGCTTGGGCCCTGCACCTGCATGGGAGACCAGGAGGAAGCACCTGGCTCCTGGCTTTGGATCGGCACAGTGCGCCAGCCGTGGTGGCCATTTGGGGGGGTGAACCAACGGAAGGAAGACCTTTCTCTCTCTCTCCGTCTAACTCTGCCTGTCAAAAAAAATTCAATATGGCTTTTAGACACAATTCTAGGAACATAGTGTCTCCTTTTTATTGAAGATGGAGATAAGCTAAAGCAAGGCTCAAAACAGCTTACCTAGGGTCACAACATTATGAAATTGGATGGACTAGGATCTGAATCTAGTCTGATCTCATCCCAACTGGAAAGCTCCCTGGTAAAAGCCAAATATTAACTGTGATATATTAATACATCACTTATTCTTTTTAGTAATAATTCTCATCAGCTCCAGTTGAACATCATACACTTAAAATTACTTTTCTAGTCCCTCACTTAATTTGGGGTTGTTTAGCCAAATATCTGTAGTCTAGTGGCATTTTCATCTTTTCAAAGAAATGAATCAATAAAATAGATGAAAGCTATTCTTATATATTTTACAAGAATATATATCGGGGTGGGGCATAAAAATGGTTGGGGAACCTGTAGTCAACAGGTCACCTAGTTACACAGAGAATATAGCAATGTATTTGATAGTTTGAAGGCTTTGGTTAGGATACATTAAAAATTGGCCATCATGGAAAACTTTTCATTATGCCTCAGAAGCAGCATTGTGTTCCTTTAGGACTTAGGTATATAATATTAATATAATATTAATACTGTCTCTTGATCACCTGCTTAAGAGCATAGAGCCCATAGTTCTGGGTTGGGTGTGTTAAAATAGCTATCAGATAAGGAGGATAATGGATTTTCAAGTTCTAGAACTCCTCATTTTTTTAAATCTATAATTCCCTAAATGCTGAATTCTTTTCTTAACCAGGCTATTTAATATCACAAAGATTTCACCTATTTATCCTATCATACCTACAAGCTAGGTGAATAAGTTTTAAAAGTAAAAGGCAGGCCGGCGCCGCAGCTCACTAGGCTAATCCTCCGCCTTGCTGCGCCGGCACACCGGGTTCTAGTCCCGGTCGGGGCGCCGGATTCTGTCTCGGTTGCCCCTCTTCCAGGCCAGCTCTCTGCTGTGGCCAGGGAGTGCAGTGGAGGATGGCCCAAGTCCTTGGGCCCTGCACCCCATGGGCGACCAGGATAAGTACCTGGCTCCTGCCATCGGATCAGCGTGGTGTACTGGCCGCAGCGCGCCGGCTGCGGTGGCCATTGGAGGGTGAACCAACGGCAAAGGAAGACCTTTCTCTCTGTCTCTCTCTCTCACTGTCCACTCTGCTTGTCAAAAAAAAAAAAAAAAAAAGCAAAAGGCTATACCTACTTTAATTCTGGCACCAATCATATGGCTTAAATCCTGCAATAATTAGAAAAAATGCTGGCCTTAAGGGTGACATCAATTCTTCTTAATGATATTAGAAACATGGTATAACCAAAAATGAATTAGTAATATATAGCCATGTATTATTCAACTCTCATGGATATTTAATAATGAAGAGGATAATTTAAGTAAGATTTTAACACATGTAAAAAAATGGATATAACTTTCCATTAGAGTTTCAAAAATAGCTTGAAACAGAATTTATGATATATAGCACACACATTCACACACACTTTTAAATAGCTTTGTGGACAGCCATTTAAAATTACAGAATCAATTGGAAAAGTCAGAAACAGATTGATGTTGATTGGTATCACTAACCCGAAAATTTCTATCATCCAGAATTCTTTTAATAGGATATTCAAGCAGGCTGTTTTATTAGTTTCTGTATTCCTTGCACAGAGCCTGGTACTAGAGGCTTAATATATGTCATCTGAACGAACACAGAATCTCATTTTTGTGGATCATTCCAAAGACAGTTCTTTATCATGCAGTGCTTAAATGACCATCAATTATCATTTTTATAAAACTGCAGATGTAAAAGGGGCTGGAGTTCAAGCTGAAACCACATTGCCCTGGTGACAAATCCTGGAAATTGCTTTTTTGAATGAAGTACAGATAACAACTTGTTTACTTGTCATTTGTCTCTTGCTTTTAAAATGGAAGAGCGGAATGTGAAAACACAGCACTTTCTCTGCAACATGATATAGCTGGCTCTCTAATTAATTACTTTGAAGGCTGAAGAAGCCTTCACTAAAATCATCTTCTTCATGACTTTTTATCAGTGTCTTTTGACTTTTCAGCATTCAAAATACTCCTTATTATTTCTGCATCAGTAACAGTACATGCCATGTCAACCTTCTTAGCAAATGCAATATTCCTGTCTAGCTCCTTTTCATTAAGTTTATTGACTGGACATGAAGAGCATTGTTCTTCAACACTGCAAGGAGGCAAAATCTGTCTGCAAATATCAGGCCTCAGTCACATCACACTATGCTTAAAGGGATGATTATCTGAATATTTCCATGAACAAATAGCATTTTTAAAGTAATCTTATATTTTTCAAATCAAAAAGTTGAAGGTCATATAAATACCACTGGTTCTCAATGGGGGAGGGGCAGAAATAGAAGATACCTTGCCACCCATCTGCACCTCCACATGTGGCATTGTCAGGAGACACTTCTCATTGTTGCAACTGGAGGGAGGGTGGCAATTACTATCATCTCTTCAGATGCTGCTAAACATCCAACACACACAGGACAGTTCTCTATGTCAAAGATGTTTTCATGCAAATATGTCAAGAATGCCAAAAGTTGAAAAAACTCTGCCTCTTCTCAGAAATTTTTCTCAAGTAATTTCATGTTTTAAATAACTGCCTAGTCCTAGGGTTGACTCTATGAGGTAATGCTAGAGGTACGAGATACAGTAGGATTATTAATTACCACTAATTCTTCCATGGCTATGCAATAGACTATCTCTGCTCTTCTCAGGTCCATCAATTTAAAAATCAAGTATTAATGGTAGATAAGTAGATAATGGCCTTGAAGTTTTCACGACAATTAAGCAGCAGAGTTTTACGTAAGATTATGTAAGAATAATGTAATTCTGCTTAAAACAACAGTTTTTTGGGTTCATTTTCCCATGCTAAGTTAGAATATGGCAAATCTTGTCCAAAAAATCCCATCTCAGCGGCACTATAAAATTATTGTTCAAGGGAGAGACACTGTTCACCAATGTTCTATTCTAAAAATCAAGGTTTTTTTTTATTACATTATGCTTTGCATATTGCTATCACACCACATTCACCCACCCCACCACTACTAGACACATCTTATTTTCAAAACAATGATCAACCACAAGGCACAAAAGCAATCTTTCACAGTGTGTATGAGCCAGTCAACTGTTCTTGCCCCAAAGAA